TTATTATTATATTATGTGTAATATAATATTACATTATATTACATTATATTATATTATATTATATTATATTATATTACATTGTATAATATTATTATATAATATTATATTAATATATTATTATATAACAGATATGTATTAATTTCAAATGATGGTTCGGAAAAAAGCTGTCACTGACTCCTGCCAATTACGACAAAATTGGGAGTTAAAACACTCATGAAATTCAAAACTTGATACGATCTTTTAATAACATTCCAATTCGACAACACAACATCCTGCCACGTGGCTGCAAATATTCACCTTAAAATAATAGCTATTGCAACAACAGTTACGGAATATAAATATGATGTAGTTGTCGCAAGCACAATTAAAACATCCATATTCGCTGAACCATGCTTCACCGCTCTCCAACTTTGCAAATAAAAGTATTTCCCACCAAACAACTAAAAAAAAAATCAAAAAAATATCGATAGCAATAAAACAGTATAAACATATCGAAATATACTACCAAACATTAAGCTATTATTTTAATGCGAATACTTTAAGATAAATATTCATTTTAAAATGATGGTTTAGTCATCGAAGTAAATAATTAAGTAAAGTTAATACCAAAGTGGAAGAAGGACACAGTGTGATTAATATTTACCAATTAGTTTGTATAAGTGGTATTTTAGTGACTGTATAAAAATACTGTAAATGGTGCAATTTTGACAACAAAAGTGTAAAATAGAGTAAACTAAAGATATGACAACTATTAATATTAATTGTTACCTGCACAGGCGTGCATAAAACAAGTAAAATGAGATTGTCCAAACTGAGTGCAGGAGTAAATACTGGTGTCTGCATCTCGGGATGCATCGGTGTGTGGAGGAACCAATGAAAATAGATCATTATACCCATCACCGGCATCCCAAATAGCAGTGACAGTACCAGTGAAAATCTCCACCTGAAATAAAATTGCAGTGTAAGATTATTTGTATTAATCCACTTACATATCCAATTACAATATTAGCTAACATTTCAATAAGAACGACATAGATTTGGAGCATCAAGACTCATTTAATATTTAGCTTCCAATGTACCGGAAATTTTAATCGCAACAGTAGGTTTATTCAGAGCGACAAGCAAAGCATTTAACTAAGGCGTGATCATTGTGCTTACAAAGCATTAATAAATATTTTTAATTACTAAAGCAGTAAAATCATAAATGGAAACATACAATGCACATTTTTTTAAAAGTTAACATACTTTGCTACTTCAGCCGAATGATCAAGCCTCTTCAATTGTTCATCGTGACATGCAACTGCTGCTGAATATCCCAAATCCTCAACGAATTTAACATGAATTAAATTGAAAATCTAATTTACGATAAGAATTAATTTGTGACAAAAGCAATGGCACAAAATTTCATTAGAATAAAATTTTAAATTATTATCAATGTAAGTTTTAATCAATTTCACAAACGCTTCCTACCTCGATCACTTTGATAATATCACGTGGACCAATAAATGTAGAAGTGTATTCAATCTTTGCAGAGGATGTTGCTAATGAAACAGAACATGATTCGATCCCCTTCCTCGCAACGACATGTGACTCAATTCGTTGCACACAGATTCCTGATGATAATCCAGTAATCTGAAATCGATAACTTCATAACTTCTCTAAATCGATGAATACAATCACTCGTATTATTCAAATATATTATTCATATTATTCAAATAAGTGCAAAATGTAAAACCATCGGAGAGGTGTCACTCAGATTTTAGATTTTACTTCAAAATGATATCATTCTAAAACTTAACAGCAAACGATAATACTTGAGTTTGTTACATAAATTTCAATTGGTTAGAAATGAGTCATAAGTCATTTGTCGTTTACCACATCAAAAAGAAAAAAAGACACAGTTTAAGAAACTAAGGAAGAAAACTGAAAAATACCTCCAGGGAAATAAAAAGTTCTGATTAAAAGTACTGCGGTTATCCTGTGGTTATCATGTTATACTATAGTTTCGCTCGATTATCATCCCTATGTTAAGGGAATCATTTTAATAATAAAGTAGATGGAAGTGGGCTTGAGGAAAAGCTTTCAATGATTTCTGGTCATTGTACTATCATTTCTTGAATTGCATACTTTTCAGCACAATAAAAAATTTCAACATGAAAAAAAAATGTCGAAACTATAATGTTAATGCAATCAAACAATAAGCAAAAAACGTTAAAAATAATTAAAAGTTGATGTAATTAACTGTGCTCGGACAACACCTACCAGCAAATTTAACACTGAATGATTTCCGAATCCATCATCGATGATCGCAGCACGATATCCTAGCATGCTGATTTCATCAGCTATATGTTCGGCAGCGATTACCAGTGAATCGTATACCACTTCCGCTTTTGATGACATCAAAGCTACGACTACAGAATGTACACCTGGAACTGCATACTTTTTGCAAATAGCTATGATTGCATACTTTTTTACAAATAGCTACGATTTCAGTCCCGAAATTGTGACTTGTTTAATTAATGTGAATGTTCGTCGAGTAGGAAGCGAAATTTTTGATTAAAACAAAGATCAAGAAAGAAATCAAAAAAAGATATCGAAATTTTTGTCGGTTTATTGAAAATCTGGAAAAAAAATTATCACATCAAACTGCATTCTAAACAAAAATCATGAACTAAATCATGAATTCTCCCTTTTTTTCATTAATTTCTCAAAAACCATTACCAAAAAATGAAAAAACCTTTCAATTTTCCAATATTTCGTTCTATGTATGCAACACATGAAGCACATGTCATTCCTTCCACTGAAAATGTTCGCTTCTCAATTGAATCATCATTTACGGGTCCAAATTTCGCTGTTTTTTTCCCATGTTTCACGGTAGATTCATTCATTTTACACATACCACCCACCTTTTTAAGTAAAATTGATGAAGATATATCAGTTAATACTTCCTCGGAACAATCTAAAAAATAACGCTATTTGCGAAAAGTTAACTATCGTGGAGATGCAAAACACTGTAATTTCAGGTTCTTCTTTTTTCAATGAAGAATTCAAAAATTTAAGTTTTCATTGCAATAAGAAACCATATCACACTTAAACTACATTGTAACACTCTAAGGAAACAAATCTACATTATTTTGAGAGAATTTTTGAACTTTCTGCTGTCCTATGCACATTTTATGCATAGTTTCTAGATGACAACACACTGAAAAAAAATCATATGCCAGCTTGCTCTAATATCTGGGACAATTTAAAAAGCTTCCCGTAAATTCATATTTTTGCCTAATAATACCGAAAACATTATTCAAAAGTAAGCTATATCCCCTTAAGGTTACAGTTTTTTGATAATTATCCTCATCGGTTTCTATGATGAAAATTTGAAAAATAAGCAAGATAACCTTGTGTTTGTAGCAGTTTCGCATCAAAGCCCATATCGGTGACCAGTTCAACGATCGTCTGAACGTTCCATTTAGATGTATCGTATACAATTCGCCCTTGAATATTTTGAAACAATGAGGAAAAAGAACAAAGTGAAAAATGAAACAAGTTCAGCTGCAGGAGCCAAGAAGCAAAAGCAATAAATGGTTCATGTAAAATTGGCTTAGATAGATATCGCAAAGTTTCCGCTTCTCCCAGATTCACAGGCAGTCGGGTAAACTGTTCTTACCCTGAGTTATTTATCATCAGGAAATACCTGGACAAACATCTCCAAGAAACCGGACAACCAGAAAATGTACTAGCGTTTAAAAAACCATAACTAATGAAAAAAGTTTCAAATGACTAGCCTTCAGATTTATTAAGTGAAACGGAAACTGATTTTATGCCATCGTTTCTTCCAATAGTCTCCTCGATATTATTTACACATGAATGGCATGTCATTCCTTTGATTTCAATTATTGCTTCTTGAAAAATCGAAGTTGTCGAAGCTTTATTCGAATATTTTTCATTATCTAGAAAGAGGAAATTTGAATGTTTTGGTGTAGAAAAAGAACATAATCTTAAGATACGCTATGAAAAATATATCAGAAAATTCCAAACAAATAACCAGATTTCTTTAAATTTTGACCATGGTGATGAGCTACACGCAATATTTTATAGTTATGGTAGTAGATCAAAGATCACTGGTCATTTTTTTAAATGTTTCATCAATTTTTGATTTGCATATAAATTTTTCGGATAAAAATTTATAAATAAGAATCATAATGAGAATATATGGAAATAATTTTCTTCTCTTTTCTTCCACTTTTTAAAATTTTTAGTGGATATAAATGGGTAAAAAATCGAAACCGCTAAAGTTAAGATGAATAAAAGTGCCACTTATCTCTTTCATACTTCAATTTACTAATAAAATGAGATATGATGTTAAAATTTCCGCAATACGACTAATATTTCGTTCAGATGAAACGAATTCAGCAACAATTATAGAATTTAAACTCAGTATAACTTTTCAATATGATTGCAACAAAAATGCACAATTCTACATATAACATTGCTGACATTACTACGCCAATAAACATTACTAAGCATTCTTATTATTTCAGATTTATCTTTTCCGTGCTAGTTATCTGCATTTTACGCGTACTCACTCAAATCATCCCCATATGCTTGGATTTGATCAAAATTCTGTTTAGAAATATTGAAATTTCATTTTAAAAAAACCCAATAAGGACCTTTTTTATCATTGCTTGATACGACTGTCTGACCGTTGTCTCTTGCATCACATAACTTATCCTGAATATCATTGGCTGATGAGTGAGATGTCATTCTTCGTCCATTACTTGTTATAACTTCATTATCTATTCGTTGATTTAGAAAATTAAATAATTCCATGTCACTGGCCATCTGGAAAAAAAAAAAGCGAAATGGAACAATAGCTTCTAAGTGATACTACCTAGGTAAACATTTGTTGCGCACGTAAACATACAAGTTTCCCAAAAAAATGAAAGAAAAAAGAAGAAAAAAAAAATCACAACGACCTGACTCGATTTAGAAAACATCTCTAACACAACGTTAACACTACCTAAGTAAGTGAGGTCACGTAAGTTAGCAGGTCGTTATTAACTACACGAAACATACACAGAGACAGTTATTTTACATTAGACAAAAACAAAAAAATTCTAATTCTATTGAAAATGAGAATAACTCATTTAGCTAAATAACGACAAACAAAAAATAAAATTTCCATACCCTATAGAACATAATTTTGCCATAAAAATTTCAAAACCTTTCATCACATACCATTACATACTTCACATAAAAATAAGTGTCAGTGGCAAATTTTAAGACAATAGAAAATTTGAAAAGAAGAATTAACCTTGGGAAAAAGAGTCAAAAACAAAATTTGAGACTATAAGTTTTAATTTGAAATCACAATTTTTCAATTTCTATCTAGGTTATTGACCGAGAAATTAGAAGATGGACGAAAGTTCCAAATGAGCTGTAACAAAGAGAAAAACTAGAACAAGAAGATAAAAATGGAAAACATAAAACAAAGTGATCATTATACAGGGTTGCATAATCTTTCGTAACAGTCTTTTCCAATTAATTATTTACGAATTATTTGTCACCTTATAAATATAGCCTCAGCACATTTACTGAAAGTGAAATAAGTCCAACGAAAATGAAAATTCTCACAGATTTATATTCATGATTTATAAATGCCTAACCGAACAAAATACGTATTTCCTTTGCAAAAAGAAATGTGTAATAATTTGCAGACAGAAATATTCTGTATTAGATGCAATGGATGAGTTACAAAAATGCAATTTCAAAATGCTTATTGAAAAGTGTTGAAATAATAAATGTAAGGATTGAAGATCAAAAGTTATAAAGATCAAAAGCTATAAGGTAGAAAGATACAGCTCACATGTTATGAAGTTCAAAATTTCATTAAAAAAACATTTAACAAATGGTGGAGGTAATATGGCCTAAAAGTATATGGTCGATTGAATGAAAATTAATTATAAAAAATGATGATAAATCAATGAAAACTGACCCCAATATCAATGAAAAAAAGTTGATCTCAATAAAAAATGTGATTAAAAACTGATCCTGATGCCAATGAAAGAAAAAAGATGATATCAACAAAATACAATAGAAATTGATCCGATATTAAAGAAGGAGAAATTATTGTAGTCCATGTATGATGTGCAACAAAAAGTACGAAATTTTCGAAAATCAAAATATTCCAATTAAAAATTCCAACCGGAAGCTTCAGAAAGCGATTCATTTAAAAAACCAGTTCACATAGCACAAAATAGCTAATGAAATGAAAATGATGTGAAAGATATATAATCTCAGTAAAAATGTCTACTATTAATGAGACGAGACATGCTAGAAATACTTGATTTTCCAGTTTTTCCATCTCACAGAGGAAAAGCGAATGAAATTAATGAAAATATTTTGTAATAAGAAATGACAATATCAACAAGGGAAATTGCATATTTCATTTCACTCTATCATCATACGAAACTAATAATATATGAACTGAATAATAACATATGAGCTTGAAAAAAAAAAAAATATGAGCTCAAACTGAATTGGTTAAATTATAAGTAATCACTATTTTAAATTATAAGTAATAGTTATTCTAAATTATAAGTGGTAGCTATTTTAAACAATAGGTAATTGTTGTTTTAAATTGTAGATAATTGTAGGTGATTGTTTAAATTGTAGGTAATTATAGGCAATCGTAGGCAATTAAATTGTAGGTAATGGCCATTTTAAATTATAAGTAAACGTTATTTAAAATTATAAAGAGAAAAAATTATATTTAAAATTCAAAATGATTAAAAGCAATCCTTATTTTGAAAGCACCGTAAAAATAACCGTTGTCATAAATATAAGTAAATTATAAGTAATCGTTACCTTAAATTACAAGTAATTACTATTTTGAATCACAGGTGGTCATTACCCTAAAATATACGTAACACTATGCAAATGATGCATTAGACTAAAAAAAAAGACTTTCACGGTAATAAAATAGAAATTATGATTATTATGAGAAGATTATTAGAAATTATGAGAAATTATTCCTTCTTGAAATGAGCTTTTTGGAAGAAAAAAAAAGGGATAATAATCCGACAATTTTGAATGTTACTTTTGAATGTTAATATCATAAAAATGTTATTGGAGAAAGTGTCATTTGTTCCAATACTTCTTTTTAAATGACATTAATAACAAAAAGTATTTTCAATAATCAAGAAAAATATAGCTGAAAATGTTAAATCACAAAATGATCATAAGGAGAAAAATTTTTTAATAATTTATGATGCTTTTAATTCGTTGTGTACTTTAATAAGCTTTCATTCCTGTATAAAATTAATAAAAACATTTCTCTATCTCTTTCGTAAGAGGAAAGAAAGAGGGAGAGAGGGAAAGAAAAATATTTGTCAACGAATAATGACGCTATCAACTTTCCCTTACTTTAAAACATCGATTCTGTAAAGTATTTAATGAAATAAGCCTGATTATGTTTATTTCGACATATCAGAAGATTTTTGAAAAGGAAATTCTCGACAGTTTCTCGAGATAACGCTTAGTGATTAAGCCACTTCAAGAATTAAACAATAAAAAACGTTGCTTAAGTAAATAATGCTTTTTCTACTAAGATAAAAGAATGAAGGTAAACAATTTCTATACTTCTTTCAGGTCTTTTTTTTTCCTTTTCTTCTATCTCTCTCTCTCTTTCTCGCCGGGAAAGGAGGAGGAGAAATGTTCTCTTCAAGGAATCATGCATGATTAAAGATGTTAGGAACTTTTCATGTTAGAGAAGGTGCTAATAACAGAAATTTTCAGTTGCAAATAATTTCGAGGTTCGATCGATTGCAAAGAAAAACAGGAAAATATTTCTCTTTCTCTCTCTCCTGAATGAAGAGGAAATTTCTCTCTCTCTCTCTTAAAAGCAAAGAGAAAGGAAAAAAAATTTGAAAAAACATCAAAGTTAATGAACAAAAAAAGAAAAAAAAAGAAACTCAGCAAAAAACTAAATGAAAATATCGGAAAAGATTTCTTTCTTTCAAAAATTCACGAAAACTTTTCATTAAAAAATCAAATAAATTAGGCGACCATGACAACCGGAACTTTTTGAACAAATTTGTCGGTAAGGGGGAAGATTGAAATGACGAGAAATTTCAGGAGGGCCGCGAGAATTTCTGTTATATTTAAGCGGACCGCATTTGTCTATCTCATGGGTAGTATTATCCAAAATGGTTCCTTTTGTTTGGTGTTTGTCAGCGAAAATCACAGGATAAGCGCAAAGACATTTTCCCGAGATTCCATAGCAATTGTAATGTCTTATTGTAGGAATTGCATGAAGCATGAACGTTATGTTTATCATCAATTAACGAAAATTGGTTAAAATATCCCGATGACGAGTGGTATTTACAGCACGAATTTGCAGCAAAATTTATTGTTTGATAATGCCATCAGTGAGGTATGTTTCTTCCTTTTTTTCTTTGAAAATAGAAGTATTATACTGAAATTTCTACGTACAAGAAATGTCACAAATTAAATTGTTATATTTCGGGTTGGAAAAGTTTTGTATAATTTTTGAAACAAGGGATTATGTAATGCTGAATGAAATTTTGGAATTGAATAAGTCACATGTCGCGCAAGGAATTGTGGATTGAAGAATTCACATTACCCTCATGTAATTCATTAATAAAAAAGTTGCGAATAATTTACAATTTATGGCGGGCAGATATGACACTAAACTAAAATGTTCATGATTTGTAATTGGAAACGAATGAAAAATTTTGTCGATTAATTGAATTTATACGACTATCGTATAATTTGGTGCCACGAGCGGGTATTTATGTGTTACGAAATGTATTATGATCGGATTTCTAGTTTTTGCTTTGCGAATAATATGGCTGGATTAGAATTAAGATAGCCTGTTTAATAAAACGTTGGTAATAAGCTCAATCTGTTTTGCAACGGATGAGCTTTATCAGGCTGAGGTTGCGTGTTTCTCGGCTTTGTTCTCAGATGCAACGAATGCATCTTTATATATTATTTAAGAGAACAATAGAATCTCTTGTGTAGCTAAATCTATATTCTTTCTTATGGAACAGATGGATTTCAGTTCCATATAATTTGAACTCCCATAAATTTTCGACTGGTTTTGTAGAGGGAATTTCATTAATTCTTAAAGAAAAAAAAACATGAGTTTTTATGCCAAGTTTTATCGTTTTATATTGTCAGTTTGATCAAGCAAAGATGAATGATTCACGAAGTACCACTGAAGAAGGATCAATAAATGACGATGAGCATATCTATGCAAATGTTCGAGAAATGGAGGAAGAAAGTCGACGACAAGAGCAGCCACCCATTCCAGGTTCTACCGATGAAGCAGTTCGCGATGTCGGAGGTGGATGGTATGAGTATCTCACAGATGCCGGAAGGTCCGATATTCTCACTAATTGTTACTTAAGAACTGAATTCTTATGAGCAAGATTGCATTTGACAGTAATTCTGAAAAATATTATTACTGTTTAGATCAAGAAGCACTAAAACATATTCACAAATGAAATTGAGATCTAGAGGGAATTTAAGAGCTTATGATGAAAATTTTAAAAAATTCTTTTTATTTTATCTTCCTGCAGGTCTTATTTTTACAACCATGAAACGGGTGATTGCCACTGGAAACCACCACGGTTTTTGAAACCACCTTTAGAAGTTATCGGTGCGCTAAATGGTTTGAGCAGTCAGCAGAATAGCCCGCTGCATAGTGAAGTGGAAACTAGAGATGATGTTTTAGCGTCATGCTCGGAACCTCACCCTACGATATCTGCTGTTTGTTTTGTGAGTACTTGTTGATTGTAACTTAATATCGTGCGCTGCATTTATAGTTCAAGTAACAGTCAATTTAGAGTGTAAGCAAACTGAAGTTGCAGCAGGAACATGCTTAGTTAGGTTTAGCCTTAGCAGATTATCATCTACCTGACAAAAAATGTTCATGTAATTGTGGTCCGAAGAAGATATCTAAAATAATTGTGCTGTCTATACATGTTTTAATTTATTATTTGTATGAAATTCCTAAACCATTTCTCATGTGAAAATTAGGGTAGAATTTTGATAGATTTTATATAACTTTTATTGATGATGAATTCTGCTGCTTAGGCAAAGCTAGATGATGGTGTCAGTGTTGGGAACAGTAAATCAGATGCGGTTTGGTCAACATTAAGCGTACGTAACAAAATTACGGAAAAACGAATGTCGGTGCAAACAATAGCTCAAGAACTTCAAGCTACTGGACACTTACATTCGCATAAATCAAATGAGGAAATTGGTACCGGTATGAATTTTCATTTATTTGAATTTCGTTATAAGAACTTAAAGTAATTTTTATACTGACAAGATTCGAACTGAAAAGTTGCATTTTTTTTTCCCTTTGGAATGGAAATAAGTTTCACATTGTTTTCCAAAACATTACTGCTGCAGTCTTCGTTATTTTCTAGAGCAGACTGCATACAATCCTATTCGGTTTCATGGATTTTAACTTTCAATGCTTGATATTTTCTATTTTTGATACTAAAAGTCATTCCCATTTTGCAGTTCCGAAAGCTGTTGGCGGCGAACCGTGTTCCAGTAATTATCCTATTCACTTTCCTTCCAGAAGCATTACACATAAATCGATCAAATGTGGAACACTGGAAAAGGTTTGTAGCGATAACTGGACCTGTTTTTTAGCAACTGCGTGACTTGGCCTTTTTAAGATTACAAATGAATTTATCACTAAGTTAAGAAATAGTTATGGTCCTATTTAGGGGTGACATCGATTGTTGATTATTTATTAGTGTACAATATATTACTAATTTCAACCTAAACATTTGATTCCGGAGGTAGAAACAGTAATGACCAAGGAAGATTAAAGCACATCTTGGCGTTCCCAAAAGCTTTAGATAAGCCGAAAAATACTGCTGTATAGCAAAAATTAGGTGCTCCAGATCAGCCACATATTACAAGTGGGTAGATCAAACGAATTTCGATGTACCAGTTTTTATTTTTGACAGTGTTTTTTTTCGTTATATGCAGTCATACTGTTTAATACCACCATCCAAGAGACCATTTACTCCCACTACAACTTAGTGATTCGGTGGAATACCATTGGTTAAATGTGCTGTTTTCTTCTTCACATTGTTAACTACTTCTGCTGATATATATGTCTGTTTCATCCCTTTTTCTTTACCATATTTTCTCCTTCCTCTTCTTTTCTAAATGCAGATAAATGTTTTTCTACTTTATGCTAGCCCAGTGGATTTTTTAGTGTAAAGTAGCAGATGCAGGAATACGACTAAAGAAGAAAGAATGGACATCTTGTTATCTTTTTCTTTCTTCTGCTCATATCATATTTTACAAGGATGAACGAAGTGCTGAGGTAAGCTTTATTAAGCAAATATAAAATTTTTAAATGAATGACTGGCTTTATATAAAATTTTTAAATGAATGATTGGCTTTTGCGCAAATAATTTGATTCCATCGAAATGATTTTACAGAAATCAGGTCGTCATTATGAGGCACCCTTGGGCATGTGCGATCTTCGAGGAGCATACGTAAAATGGGCGAATGAAAAGGATAAACGTAGGAAGCATATTTTTCAGGTATGTATGCTTTTCCTTCCGTCTTGGGTTGCTTTCATTTCTGTTTTATATTTTTTCTTTATATTTTACAAAACATTGACTTTACGAACTTCGGTTCTTACTTTTTACGGTAGCACCATTCGTTGTCGATATGAAATTAATCCGTCTCAACAGGATGATAAGTCGTCACAAATCAAGTAATTGTATATATTCCAGCTTGAACTAATAGATGGTACGATTTATTACTTTAGTACATCAAATACGCAGGATGTGAATGGATGGTTCCATGCAATGCGTCAGGTCGTATCTAAATTGGTATGTCCAAAGTTTTACTAAAATAGATTTTTTTTTCTCCTACGTTCTTCCTTATCATAACAGTATGCAATTATAGTGACATACGTACAAGTAATATAAAAACTAATGAATCCCACCTTTATTTTGTTGATCCTTGTGTTGAATGCTCAAGTTGAGCTTAAATGGTTTTGATTCTAGTTTTAATATAAATTTTAAGAAAAATGTAACCAACATGGTGGCTGAAATCTTCACTGTTCATTTCCATTCCTAGATAATGGAATGCTAATTTTTTCAGCCTCGTCCTGATGCGTATCCGACACCGGTGTTGGAAAGAGGTTTAGCTACCGCTGGTTTAATACGAAATTCAAGCAGTTTGTCTTATTCCTCAAGATCACTTAGTATTAGTCAAACACGACGCTCTTTTAAGAAATCGAAGGTGTCGGTGAAAGGTTCGATTTTTGCACCTACTAAAGATCGAAATTTTTTGAAAAAATGTGGCACAAATGCAAATTTTTTTTTTCTTGTTCATTTTACGCTGTTTTGCAGGTTCCGAGGTTGCAGTTACAGGTGATGAAAAAAAGCGTGCTGATATTGAAGAGATAAGGTTGACGCGTGAGTCTATCATTGAAAAACTAAAACGGTTTTTCCGATCGAGACCGTCCATAGAAAGCTTGAAAGAGAAAGGCATTTACAAACGTTAATTTTTCAATTTTATTTATGTCGTCTATATTTTCTTTCGATTCTTGATTTAGATGTGTGTTTGAAATTATAAGTGGAAATTTAGAAGTTTCAATAGTAATCAACGCACAACGACGCATCCTGTATTTAACAAACTCAGTGATTATGTAATTTCCGATAGAACGAGAATTATATAATCACTGAGTTTGCTAAATATCAGTGGATGTAGTTTTAGAATAGTCATACAAGTTGGAAAACGGCACAATATGCCACATATTGCTGCCTTTACTCCGCCAGTAATCGTATGTGACAAAGATACCTGTATGTATTATAATGATGATGATAATGATGGAATGATATATGTGTTCTAGTGATGGATAATGCTCCAATCTCTATGTTACTGTGATGTAATCACTCTGAATTTTAAGCTTATTCAGGTATAAATGATAAAATTTAAAAAAAATGAGCAGGTGTTCTAAAGCTTTTGGATTATATTTTACAGCGGAACCCGTTTTTGGAAGTACTTTGGCCGCAATTTGTCACTATGAACAGACGACAGTTCCACGTTTTATCCAACTGGTTACAGAAGTAGTCGAATCGAAAGGTCTCGATACAGATGGTCTTTATCGAGTTAGTGGCAATCTTTCATCGATTCAAAGGATTCGATGCCAGGTTGATCAAGGTGATTGCATAAATTAAAGTGTGGATTTTATCTTATCCTCAGGAATGTCATTTATTCTATTTTAATTCATTTAAAAATAAGGTTACAGATATGAAAGGACCTTTATGTTTCACATAAAGTTGCCGGAATATGTCTTGCATTGGTTCAGCACTGCTTAATGGTTGTTATCCCTGCATGATTAATTTTTCCGATGGGGAATGAATTTATGAAAACACATAACTCATCAAGTATTAGAATTTCAGAAAAATATGTTGCTTTACTGGCAGAAGATGATGTCCATGTTTTAACAGGAGCTTTAAAACTATTTTTTCGCGAATTATCAGAACCAATTTTTCCAGCTAATTTGGCTAAGGATTTCATTTACGCCAACCGTAAGTGATCTCCTACATTTATGTATTGTTCTTTTTCTTTATGCTATCATCTTTTATTAATTTATGATTCACCTAGATCTGAAATTCAGGGCTACCTAAAGGGGAAGGAAAATTAAAAGCATTTGACGATTTATTAAATAAACTACCATTGGTTAACCGAGAAACACTCAAAGTTCTATTTGGACATCTTATACGGTTAGTTCAGACTTTTTATTTTCTTTTTTAGCGAAGTTTCTAGTGACTTGAATTGCAAATGTTCCAATATTGATCCTGATCACTTGTTTATAAATGATTTAGAGTCTGAGTTTAATATCATCATTTTGCATATCAATGTATTTTGGCATACGTTTTAGGTGTTTTTTTTAAACTTTATTTGCCAATTTAATGCATCAAAAAAATCACTCCGAAGTCCTATTGCAATGGTTTCATTTATTTAGCTATATCATGCTGATTTAAAATGTGTTTCAAACATTTCGACATTTCCAGAGTTGCTAATCATGCAGATAAGAATCGAATGGAAATCCACAATTTGGCAATCATGTTTGGTCCATCTCTCTTCAGCAGTGGTACGAACGATATCAATGGTGATAACAAAAAGGGAGGCAGTTCGAAAAAGGGGAAAGCTGCTAATAAGAAGTTGAAAGAAAAACCAGCCGGTGTACAAAGCAATTCGCATCTTGCTTATAATATGATTATGCAGGGGCAAACGGTAGAATATCTTCTGAAAGAGTTCAAACGATTTCCATCGATGCAGTCGCAGCAACAGTTATCTGTATCTCTTAAGTACTCTTGATTTATACTGTGCCTCGGTTTCTTTTCATTTTTTATTAAAAATTTAAGCATTGCAAGGTAAGTAGGATCCCAAGAAGATACTAATTTCTCTGAATACTAATTTACTTAGCTGATTTGAGATGTTTCCCATTTTCGTCCTCGAGAATTCAGCATATATTTCCTGCAATTTTTTTTAAGAAATGATTGTAAATGATGGATTTTGTAATTGAAAAAAATTTCATTGATGTGCAGACATTTAAAGAAAAAAAAAACACAAATCAAAAATGAAAAATGAATTCTTCATTAATTTATTCCAAGAATTATAAGGGCATAAACAGTGAAGATGATGAGCATTTGATGTTATTGCCTTTCATAATCATTTCACCTCTCACTTTCTTTTTGTGATTTCATAACTTATTTTTTGAAGTATCGAATTTAGCTGGCACTTTTTTGTACACATAGTTTTTCACGGTGAATTATAATCCTCGGTTATTTGTGTATAGTCATTCTTGTGTATATTTTTCCAAAGTCCAGAATCCTTGGTGTATACCATTTTAATGTTACTTGTTTTGTAGTTATTTAGTCATTAGCAACCTTTACCTAACTTTCATGCAAATGGTTGATTTTTTTTTCAAATATTTATTTTAAATCCGTATTTTCTGTGCATTCCAACTTTTTGTTTACATTCTGCTATCAGACATTCGATACATTTGTATTCAAATTATCTATGGGTTCTAGCTTGGCTTTCGTATAACTCAATATTACATAATTTTACGAAATTTTCATCCAAAAATAATTGAAAGTTGCCGAAGAATCTTGTGTATGGATCCAATGATCCTTAATTTAGAGAGCTTCCTATCCTCTTGTGCCTCTTCTCGCTCCCTTTTCCCACTTCCTGGAAAATTCATACTGAATATACTGGATCAAGTAGAAAGAAGAAAAGAATGAAGGAATATCTTCCTAAACCATTCTGACATTTGCTTAGTTATTTTTCTTTATTTTTCTTTTCTCCTTGGAATTTATATTAGATAATTAGGGATTTTATTTAGCTAAATTATTCGTGCAATTTGCAATAGTTCAATGCAGTACGTCTTTCGATTCCTGAATCCTACATATTATTATGATGCTAAATTAAATTAAAATTTTCTTTTAAAATTTGAATTTTCTGTTTTATTTTTCCTGTATCATATTAGTTATTCAGTTGTATTTGCTCTTGTTGTTGTTATTATTATTGCTGGAAATGGTTGTGATAGCAAAAAGAAAAAGTATGGTTTATGGATTAGTGAATGATTGATTGATCCTGCATGCTTATTTCACTTTTTTGCTTAATTTTCAAACTCAGTTAATGTTCATGATGAGTTTTGTAGTATGTTTAAATTTAAATGCGTGGTTATTGTTTCTTTTTAATGCAAATTGTTTAATATTTCGAAACTATACATTTCATTCATTTCGAGTTACTTTGCCTTATTAATGTTTTTGGATTTTAATATTCTTATCTATTTCTTTATAGTTTCCCCTGCGACAGGTTACTTTCTTTTGCGTTGTTCAATTATTTGTCGGATTTCCTTAGGGAAAATTAAAATTTTCAAATAAAATGTCTTCTCTTAACATTTTTCATTGCAGGTGATAAAATAGTTTGAATGATCATTGTACTAATTATTTGAAATGGCTGAATGATGCTTGCAGTATATTGGAATGGTTAGAAAACGGAAGAGATATTTAAAGTTTTTTTAAAAGCTTCTTGAGCAAAGGGGAAATATGTTATTTAGTATTGAAAATTCGTAGTAACTTTCGAGAGAGTAGAAATGTTTGTGTTAGAATTCTATAAATATTTTTCAAACAATTTTGATAAAACATTTTTCGATTGTATCCTACAATCTTCCGTTTACATGTATCGTTTCAAATTTGTTGAGGAAAAAGTAATCCTTTGTTTGTTACTTCTGGGAGTAGAACTTTTACAGGGAACACGGTCTCTGCTGACGTAGTAGCGCAAGGTTTGGGTTAGGCTGTTCATTAAGAAAGTCTTTTCGTCAAGTTTAAATCGGAATTCTTGAAGTTCATTTCATAGGTTCGTCGGAAGAGGTGCTAATTGGATGTTATTAAACTATGAAAAAGAAACATTTTGAATGCTTTCTATCGCAAATTGAAACGTTTCAAAATTTGAAAGTACAACTGGAGCAATATTCAACGAGTGTTGAACTTGCTGGTAGGTATTCTTTAATCATTTCTAAATAAATGAACATGAATTAAATGAATAAATTGACCGTGGTAAATGGTTGTGAGGTTGATATTGCATAAATCCTTGAGAGATTTGCTCAGTAATCACTCATATTGATTACTGAAAGTTCGAAGAGCTCTCAAAATTCTGTCTATGTTGTTAATGAACGTCTTTATTCATCTTTATAAGTAGGTGCAAAAGCTGTTTTAGCGAAGAATTAATACTTTGTGTTCCCACATCACACGTCCCTTTATTTTGTAAGACTTTTTAATACATTTCCTAAACTTTGGTTGGCTTCTTGATGAGGCATTGCTTTGCCGAATACTTTGACTGTACATCTGTATGCATTACAAAAATTAAATTTCGGGAACTGTGACCACAAATACCTTTATCAATAACCTTGGTCTTAAAATATTTCATTACGCAGCTTCTCCTAATCGTCTTAGAGATTCTGATTCATGTTTTCTGCTGTTGTACAACTAAACCATCAGTACAAACTATATTGTATCGAATATATGGACTAGTTTTCATGCGAAATTTAATTTCGGATTTACAATGGTTTACAGCTATGATCGTCATTGTAAAAAAGAAAACAAAGAAAAAGTTTCGTGAAGCGAATTTCAGCTTGACTATATGTAAGTCACAATCTTATGGTTTGGTTAATTAAATTGTAAATTGATCGGAACTAACCAGGTTATTTTGTCTTTGTCTCCTTTTTTTTCCCCATTTCAGAGGCAATATTGAATGCAATCGCAGAAGAAGGATATATTGATGGTTGCACTGTGGCAGATTTAGGTTGTGGTCCCGGTATATTACTTCTGGGAGCGGTTAAACTTGGTGCAAGGTACGTTGATTACATTTAATATAGGATATAGAAATCATTACAAATATCTCAGCGAAATCTAATTCTAGAAAATTAAAGGTATTATAAGGAAAAATGCAATTAAAGCTTTTGCAGTTATGGATTAGGTGTTGAAATTGATGAAGAAGTAATCAAAATTTGTCAAAATAATATTGAACATTGTGATATGGAAAGCAGTGTTGATGTGGTTTGCTTAGATGTTACAAAAAACATCAGCGCTTTAAAGCCTACTTTTGATACTGTTATTATGAATCCACCATTTGGTACCAAAAATAATGCAGGTAATTCTTTTGTACACAAGTTAAATATACTGTTTTACTATAATATTTTTACTGCTAGAAGTTATCAGAACAGGCTATTTAATGCATAACATCTGCTGGTGTTTAAGCTATAAACCAGATGTAGCATGATATCAACTTCCCAAAAAAAAAGCTTGCAATATAAGCTGGCCTAATGTTATGCTTTAGGTAGATAGCTGCAATGATGTATTCTTGTTCGCAAAGTTCTTCATTTCACTTTTACTGCTTTAAGAAGTGTGAAAGTTTCATTAATTGGAATGATTGATAATTTTCCTATTAGAACGTATTGCCGTCAGTGATGAAATTTTTTTAATGTTTCTCATTGTTAACGAAATACTGAAAAGAGGAAATAACTGAATTAGAATAATGAAATGAAATGGAAATTTTTTGAGTTCATGATTTCAGGCATAGATGTACAGTTTGTTAGAGCGGGTTTGTCGATTCTAAAGGAAAGTGGAAAACTTTTCTCGTTACACAAAAGTAGTACAAGGCAATATATTTCTAAATTTGTCGTCCAGAAACTATCTGATGTCAGTGCTGAATGCATTGCGCAACTATGTTGGAATTTGCCTGCAACATACACATATCATAAGCGACAGTTCGTAGACATAGAAGTTGATTTATGGAAATTCTCCGTTGATTGCAAAAATATTTCGCCAGTTGAATGATTTTTTTTTTTATGCATTCTTTCTTGTTGAAATGAAAGCAGAGATTTCATCTTTCTTTCATTTCTGTGAAATTTTTATTTTGTCCATAATGTTTATTCATTGACATATAAATATAAACTGCATATTTATAAATGGTTATCTGAACAAAAATATTATATAAAACAAAAATATCAAAAATATGCCATACAAACAAGAAAATAACCAGATATAACCTTCTTTTTTGCTTTTTTTTTTTTTTTTTTTAAGAAATACTTTGGAAACAAATAAATACTAAATGGTAGTAAAGTGGCATAATTTCCAAAATCCCTTTGAAATGTTCTTTCACAACAATTTCCGCTGCAATACTACTATGAAGATTAGCATTGACTGAAAATATCACCATTGACAATTTTACTTTCAACCTGTACTTTTAGATAATACCAATCATAACAAACGATCACTTTGTAGTAGTCATTATTACTATCAACTGTTACTTCTTCAAATTCACTGATGAGATCAAGGAAGTAAAAAAGATAATACAATTGTTATGGTTCAGTTGTGGGCAGATTTTGCGTACTTTCATAAGTTGTTATTGCTGCTTTGGAATTAAGAGACAATATACTTCCGGACGGATTGTTTTCTTGATCGACCTGTTGCTCTCCAATTCCGATATATTCATCGGATGATTGATATCGTTTTGATGATATTAATACCATGTTCATTTTCATTTTCAATCCTTCAATTGAACTTGATTGTTCCATTTGTACTTCTTCCATATCTGACAATTTTAGCTTCTTTCCCAAATTCGAACAATTCGGAATTTCACTAAATTCACTGTTTGTTGATATCATTTCCGATAATTTCGGATGGACAAATTTTGTATTCGTTTCTGGAGACGATTCATTGGATTGTTTGAAATTAGTGCGAAAATTTTTGACTTGGTTTTCAACCGGAAACTTATATGGTATGGATGGTCCCGAATTGATACAGCATTTTCCGGATCTTTCTGATACAGTTGATGATTGACTTGTCAACGGTATTGTTGAGAGAATTGATGCATATTTTTTAGATTGATGACATATCTGTGCTCTTTTTTCGGTTTGACAAAATGATTTCGACTTGAATTTGTCAACATTAGTCATATGTGAAAACCTTCTTGGCATTTTTTCTAACTGATATATCGGTAGAATTTTAGCGCTTCGTGTCGATTTCGAATTGATTCTATCATTGCTTGTATGAGTTTGTGTGCTTTCAGATACTGTTGGTGACAGTCCCCTGATATCATTGATTTGTTGTGAACGTATCCATGCTTTTGATGCTGCATAAGTGAATTGTTGTTGGCTAGAAGAAAATTATTATCAAGATAATTTTGAATAATTTCATTTCTCAATTCTAAAATTCAGTAATTAGCTTTACTTATAAATCGAGGAATTCTTTGTTTACCAAAAACGATAAATCTTTCTTATTTCTTCTATGTTCATGTTTAATTTTGGATCTTCTGAATCATTCCAGTGATTTTTGATATTATTAAATAAATGAAATTTTAATTAGGAAAATTTGAGACAATACCCTAGTAAACATTCTTACCTGTAGGTTGATGTTGGAACGGCATTCAGGTATGAAGGTATTTCGAAATCAGATAAATGTATCGAATTTGCATATGCACACTTGCTAAAAATATGTATTAGTCATAGCAAATAGCAAGATCAGATTTTAAAATTGTGTGTTTTTGAATTTACATATATTTCCTTGCAAGAGTATTAAAATCAATAGAATTTGGTTCGAAAAATAATGATTACGTTAGCGCTAAGTATTGAAAAGTTCGGGAAAAGAATAATTTATAAAATTTGAAATCATTCAACGAATTAAAATTTTTCCTTTTTACAGATACAAATTAGAAAATTAGTACTCTTATTTGAACATTATTTTAAATTTTACAAAATTTTTCGAAAAAAAACATTTTTGTAAATCGATCAAAAACTAATTTAAATTTTAGCAATTACAAATGAAAACGAAAAAAAAATCGCACCTAAATTTAAGTGAAAATGCAAATCGATTATAGATGAGTTTGATAATTGATAATGCTAACCTGTTTTGTCCTACATTCCCATTCGAAAAAGTATGAATTGTGTGAGTAAATGATAATGATGACAGTGATAGTGATGATAATGATGATGACGGTGATGATGATGATAATGATGTTGTTGATAACTTGTGACGGAGTGGAGACATTCGTAAAACAGAATTTGATTGAGGGATTGAAAGGAACGTTTGCGAAATGGAATTTGGCTGTAATTCGTTCCATTGAAAGGTCGAATTTTGTTGCGTACTATCATAACTGTCATTCGAATTCCTATCATTCGATACTGTATTATCACTGATCCAGTTAGTATCAGTTATTACTCTTTGTGATAATGAAACCATTGATTGATCATTGGACTGTTGTGTAATTTCACTTCTACAAAATATTTTTTTTTCCATATTTTTCCAATAAAGAAATAGACCATTAATTAATGGTTGGAATTAAATTTGAAATACAAATTTTAATTCACAAATATTAAGTGCTGAATCAATTTCCATGATCTAATTAACCTGTTTGCCTTGTATGCTTTTATTAACAAAATCAATTATTTATTATGAGTGGAATAAATTGAATACAATAATGAATTATCAGGAATGCTTTTGCAAAGAAATGAAAAATATTTTGAAAAGAATGTCTTTTGAATTTCACTATAAATGAGTACTAATCAAAATTTTAATTTTTTAATTTTAGAGATCAAAGAATGAAATAACATTTACCCAGTTATATTTGTTGTTCTCGCTTCAGAAGATGCGCTACTTTTTGTTGATCTTGTTCTATCTGATGGTGATACATCTAGAAATGATTCATCATCATTGGTTGACATCTCCATTCCCGCCACTATCATATTTTTTCGGTAATTCTACAAGACAAAAATGAACTTTTGCATCAATCGTTTATGTAATTCGTAAAATAACATTTTGAAATATGCAAAATTAAATTTTAAAAAAGTGCGGATTAAATTTCTTGTTTTCTCATGAAAAAAAACTAAAAGTTTATCATTTATTGAGTAGAAATGACATATAAATAGTGCTTCGTTGGCAATTCGTTCAATTTTTGGAAAAAAAAATTTCTTTAAATTATTTCCAGATCAACTGCATTCCGTTTTTGAACTATATTCAGGTTAGTTGAATTTATTTCTTAAATTTTCCACGTAAATGATTAGATACTAAAATTTTACCTTAAGATTCACGTGAAGAATAATACAGAAAAGAGAAAAAAGTCGCATATAATTGTTATTTTACTTTCGGATAACGTCAAATGCTAAAAATGAAACGTCGAACCTTACGTGAACGATTTTCCAATTTTGCATTTTGCTCTTTAATAGCAATATCACTTCGAGTTGCGAAACTATTGCTGGCAAAAATGTCCGAACGATCATTGTCACTAGTGATTTCAGAAGTGTTTTCCGAATATTTTTCAATTTCATCTTTGCTAATGCTATCATCCATCGTATTATCGTGATTTTTTATTGTGATTTGAGGGATTTCTTGGGCATTCTTGATATAATCAGTATAAGTCAATGATGATGATAGCATATCAAAATTATTAACTGAACGACCAGCATGTTGGCGGGAAGCTCTGAAAAAAAAAGTCGCATGTTTGAGGGATGAGTACTTTGGAATAATCATATTTGAGGCATATCCGGAATAATCATGATTTCAGGTTATTACGATGATTATCACTTAACTAATATTTGTTTATCAATATTAGCTGTTAGTAAATACATTGAACAGTTTAAAATCTACGACATTCTACAACTGATTCATAGTAAAATTCACTAAACATTCCCAATAAAAAATTGACTATTTTTATTTTTCAATATAATGTAATTATCATTTGTTATCAGTTTTAATTCAAACTATGCAATGATAAATTTATAAATATTATAATGATAATTAAATGAAAAATATTATACCATTAGCAGCAAAATGTATCATTATGATAATATTAAATTCAACATTTTTCTTAACTCAATATAAACATATTTTGACTCATTTTAAGTTGCCATTAACTTTTTTCTTCTTTCTCATAAGTTATCAATTCCTTCAAGTAAACTACCAAAGCTTATTGTTGTTGTCGCAATTAATTAAATGAGACATTAAAAAATTTTGAAAAATCAAACGTAAGAAAGGAAAGAAAAGCAATATTTTTTTAAGGAAAGCTTGATACATATCAAAATATATCAAACTAATTAAACTCTTACCTGCTATCATATTTTTTTCCTAGATTACTATCAATGTCATTTTTGAGACTACCGTAAGCCATTAAACCGATTACAGAGCTCAAATCTTCCGCTATTAGCTTATTATTGATAGTTACAGTCCCCTCTTCTTTTCCTTCCTCTTTACTAATATTTTTCCAAGAATTGCTAGCACTTGTTATCATTGATTCTTCCAACATATGATCTTTTGGTATAGTCAGTTGGCTAACCTGAAATATCTCAAAGCCAATTTTTTAGCAAATTAAATTTTTCTGTAAGTTTTTTCTTTTTATTTTCTACTATTCTACAACATCAAAAGGAAAGAAAACAATCAATTAACCTTTGAACTGTTTTTGAATACTTTTCCTTCTTTTTTTCCACTCATTTTTCTAAAAATAACTCTTTTACCGGAGAGAAAGAAAAGAAAAGAAAAAAAAATTGAAAAGATCATAAAAGATCATTGAAAACTATCAAATTCATATTTAAAATTTGTAATAAATTTCTTTATATCTATCATTGATTTCTTTGTTTTTCATTAAAATTCACTTTTATATGTTATAATTGAAGGAATTTTTACAGTATGATCAATGATCAGAATATTATTTGAAATAAAAATGAAACGAAAAATTGTACAATAATTGAAATCATTGATAATTTTGCTAAAGTTTGTGTTAGCATTTTATTAATATGGATGAGCTTTAAAAGGTAAGCTTTTTTCTGCAATGAAATTAATTAATTTCAGGAAAAAAAAAGATTGCAAATTAAATTTTTTAACAAACGATAAAATCCATTTCCGTCTTTCAATAAATGCAACAAATATAATGAAAGCAGCAATAGTTGCCAGACTTGTTAAGATTATAATCCATGTCGTTGAATTACCGTAATTTGTTGACACTATAAATTATTTTTTATCTTTTATAAATTTGCGTAGCTTACCTATCGGAATATTGTCATATTTTTGCAGTTATCTTTCTGATGGTTGACAAGTTTCCGGATATTTTTGCAGTAGTAACAGTTATTATAGATTATTTTTTTCTATTCATCTGTTTATTCAATTGTTAAAGTTTGAATGTAAAAAAAACAAATAACGAACTTTTTAGATTTGTTTGATATGAAGATGTTTGTTGTAACATATCGAAATGCTAAAATAACAAAAGATATAGGAATGGAATATAAGATGGTTTAAAATGAAAAGAAATGAGTTGAAATGAATTGAAATGAAATGAAATGAAATGAAAAAATAAATTGTAATAAAATGAAGTGATAATAACATCATCCTAAACAATCGTTCCTTTTCCTAATTTCATTTTTTCTAATTTAAAATTCGAATTTCAGGAAAATGAAACAAAAATTTGGTTAAACATTTTGGTTGGTATACTTGATGTACAATGAAATTATTTTACTTTAAAGTAATAATTGAAAACAATTATTTCCTTTTCTCTTTTATTTTACACATTTTACACTTCCTATTCTATACTTAGTAGTTTTATTAGAAAATATAAGAATAATTGATCAATTTATAGTTTCGATTAACATTGTTAAAATTATAGATTCATAATCTTTCACCCACAACCACTAAATACTGTAATCCATTGGTGTTGTTGGGCTAACTGTAACTCATATGAGATGATCGCAAGATTATGTGAAGATTGATAGATATCGTATGAATATATTAAAAAATGGTCAAGATGTAATAGAAGGAAAGCAAGAAAAAGGAATTAATACAAGATAAAAAGCATTTAATTAAGTGAACGGATTATTCATTACCAATTAAATTCCATTCATTTTTTAGTTTTCAATTCAAATAGGTTGTAGCCAAAAATTTTTAAACGATCATACTTAATGAGTCAATAATACAGATATAGTAATGAAAAGGTCGAAATTTCTCACGTTATTGATAATATCGTTTGATTTTTGATTATTTCCTGATATAAAGTTATCCAACTTCTTATAACTTTTACTTTCCTGATGTTTAGACGGTTCTTTCCGGTTTAATTTCTTTTTCTGCACTTCATTCAATGGTTGATGTTTAGCTGCAATTATTTTTTTCATCCGTAAATTTGATATTATAAATGACAAGCATTTATTACACATATAAGTTTTCATTTACCACCTTACGACATATTAATGACGTGACTCCATGCTATCAAATACTTAAATAGTGCTAATTCAATTAACTCAGATTAAATTAAATAAAATTTTAGATAACGAACTGTATGGCAATGTTCCTTTTCTGGAATGTTTGAAGCATTAAAAAAGGAAAATTATAAGTATATTTATATTTATTTAATATAATTAATATATTTAATTTAATATATTTATTTTTTACACTTTCAAACTTTGACAATTTTCCTACTTATCCTAAATCTCTGAATTCTAGCAAAAATAAAATGAGTTTTTATCTGAACATTTTTGCTAGCACATTAATTAAAACGTTCAAAAATCATACAAGATTGGAAGTATTAAAATAAACGTTTCAATGAAATTAATCCTTTCTATCTGATGATATCTGGTGATATTTAGTGATAAAAGCAAACTTTTAAGAAAGATTGGGAAACAGTTTACCTTTACGGTAATTAACATTTTCAGAAGCATAAGTTGTACTTCTAGAATTTTTCTGCCGATTCTCATATTTTCGTTGTAGACTATTCAAATTCGTTTTCTTATCTTTCTTATTAATCGCTATTTGATTTGCTTCATTTCCGACATTATCAGCGATATATCTACTAACATTATCACTGTTATTATCACTAGCTAATTCATGCTGCTTGCTTCGGTCCACTTTACCATTTTCCCGTTCATTATCATTTATTTGTCCACTACTATTTCTTTGTTGGTCCATTATTTCCTGATCATCATTTATATTTTCTAATCCATTTATCTTTCCGGATGGCTTAATCATCATCTTCACTGATTGATTAATAAAATCGTTATTGTTATAAGTCATAACCTTCTCGTTCGCATTATCACTGCGATTTATCATCAATCTAAATATTAAACATGATAATTCACTCTTGTTTTTGATAATTGTTGCATTAATTCAAATATATAGTCTTCACAAAAAATGACTATTTTTTAGAAAAATTTTTGAATTTTAAATTTTCGAAGTCTTAATAAACCACTAGTATTTCTTATTTTAATTAAAGTATAAGTACAATGAATTATTTTATAATTAGAAGAAAAAAAACTCAATAAAGCATAATGAGTTTGACCAAAATATGAATTAACAATTTATAGTAATTAGTGGGTGAACACAATCGGATGAATTAATTCGATAATTAATCAAAAATTTATTATTATTTTAAAAATTGGTTTTATTTGATCCCAATTATGTATTTACTGAGTAATATTTTTTATTTTTAACATTTCTCAATTTTAATTTATTTGAATGATAAATATTGCAATTTAATAATTTTTTATAGGAATACTTGAATACTTTTTGATGTGAATTTTTGATTCAATTGCTTCATTCATCCAATACCATTTGTTGTTTTCATCAATCACATATATAATACCCGTGAATGAATCATTCGCAATCTTATCACCTATATATTATCATCCGTGAAAACATTATCATCCGGAAAAACATTATCAACCGGAAAATCAATTTCGTTATTTTTCGACTGTTTACTTTTCACTCAGTAAATTTACAGTAAGATTAATAATACAAATAATAATGTATATTTGCATTTTTGATGCAAAGTAATTGTATTAAGCTAAATACCATCTCTCGTATAAATTTCAAGAAATAATTTTAAAAAATTTTCAAAATTGATTGCACAATTATGAATGATAAAAAAGATTGATTAAAAAAATCCACCTGAATTTAATCAAAATTTGAAGACTAAAATATGATGAAGGAAAAAAGTTTGAGAACAGTGATCAATTTAAATTTATTTTAATATCGTTCTTTAAATACAACTAAAATTTAATTTTTTTCCGAATTATTTCTTTATTATATTAGTATTTAAGTATTTAAAATTATTAATCTTAACCAAAATTATTCTCTTCTTTTGTCAACAAATTTTAATTTTCTGAAAAGTAAATAAAAGAGAAAAAAAAATTTTTAACAGAACCTAATTGAATGATAACTTGCGCATTTGTCAAATATTTTCGAAATGCATTAAGTGACATTGAACCTGCTTTACTATGCTTTAATTCCATCCGTATTGGGAATGCTTGTGCTGAAAAAATTATTTTCATATTTTGTTATACTTTTCTTTTCTTGGTATTAAAAAGACTTTTTTAATAATTATTTTTCAAGTTTTAATATTTTAGCATGAACTAAATTTATACTAACATAAGGTAAATTAGAAAATGTGAAATAAGAATGTAGAGAATGAAATAGGCTAGCTAAAGTTTATTTTGATTTATAAGGGAGAAAAGCATATTTAGATATATTTGAAGTAATATTAATCAGTTATTAAGTATCATTGAATGAACCGGGTAAATCAGTTAGATTTTTTGATATTGGATGAATTAGCTGTTTTGCTGCAACATCAGTATAACCAAAATCAACAAATCGTACCTTAAAAGTATATCATTTACATTTGTTTATAGCTAAATATTTGATGATGAAAATTTAAGTAATAATTATGACTCATATTTTTACCTGTAAACTAAATGATATAGAAAGATTGGAAGAGACTGATAAACGTAGATAACTTAAAAAAGGAAGAATGCAAACATGTTTAGAGATAAAAGATTAGTGTTAAATGAATCCATATCATAGCTAAGCAATTATTTTCAATCTGAATTATTAATTAAATTTAAGCAAATTTGAAGCATAAAATAGGATGGCTTGAAACTCAATGCAGCAATTATTTGCCTATTCTTATCCGCTTATTATTTTAACATATTAACAAAGGTACAATGAAAGTCCAATTAATTTCGGCATTTTTTTTTCATTGATTTTATATTTATTTAGTAATTTCCAATTTTTTCTTGACCAATGACCACTTTGGTTTTTTTTTTAGAATAAATTGGAAAATTTAAAAATAATAAATTCTGCTAATTTCAAAAAAACTTTTACAAAAAGTATTTCAACACTTACACTATCAACATTACAACCTGAATAAACCTCTATCCTATCGCTATCAAGTGAATCGAAGTATAGCTAAAAAAAAAAAATATTTCCAACTCTTTTGTACTTATCGCAACTATTGCTCTTTTAGACCATCGGTTGGGAGTCACTAAATTTTAACTGATAGTTCTATGATTGGAATAGATCTTATTACGAATGCTAGCAATCACCCATGTCCAGCATTTAAAGATGGACAACATGAAATATTTGGTGAAATATTTGGTCATATAAGAAATATTTGAAATATTTGGTCATATAAGATGAAATATTTGGTCATATAAATGAAAATTATTGAAATATTTGGAAATATTTGAATATTTGGTCAATATTTGGTCATATATTTGAAATATTTGGTTGAAATATTTGGAATATTTGGTGAAATATTTGGTCATATAAGTCAGAGGATTTTAACCCAACATTTTAAATTGTAAATTAAAATATTCTAACTAAATAATTTTACAACAAATTAGAAATTTTCCATGATAAATAATATTTTGTGATGGATAAAAGATGAAGATGAAGAACCATTTTGGAAAAAAAAACAGCTATAAAAGCTAACAAGTATCAAACTGAAAAAAAAAACTTAAATTAAATAAATATGACTATTTTCATTAAATCTTAGGATAGATCCCAGGATAAATATCAAGAGCTAAAAAAAAAAATTTCGATCAAAAATTTGATCAATTATGGCAAAACATCGCTTTAGATATTTTTTGCTCCTGCATTTATACTCACAAGTATTAATGTTGGATCGATACGTTTAATGATAAGTACACGATTACATTCATTCTGTAAGTCATATTTTATAATTCCGGCCGAACCTAAAATATTTTTAGCAAGTTATTAATTACTTCATATTTCATTTTCCTTTTTATATTTGTAATAAAATTCAAATTACTTTAATTTAACCCTTTTTTTTCTTGGTATCACGCAACATATTCTATCATTAAAGTTCCTAATGATAAGATCAATGAATTATTATATTATCGCTTAATTTCGAATTTTAACAATTCATAATCAAAGCGATTTAATGCAAAAATATTTTTAAACTAAAGATTTCGTAAGGCATGAAAAACTTGAAATTTTAACATAATATTTAATTTGCTACTATTCGTTTCTACTCTAATGATTGTTCTAATTAATCAAATCAGATAACCTGAGACAGGATTTGGTAATGAGTTAGTGGTATGGTATGTTTGTTGTAATTGTTTCTGTAATTTTTGCAGCATGCGATATGCATTTGCTAATTGTACATGAACTGTAGTCCAAGCTATAAACAATAATTAATTTATATATTATAACCAAGCAATTATAATAGTCATTTGTAAAACTTATTCGAAATAATTAATTATGAAAGAAATAATAAATTTACATTCAACATATGTAACAACGACATCCACATAATCATAAGTAGCAGCTGGTAGGACTAATTTGGCATATTGTCCTTGTAAAACTTCACTTTTGGCTGTACCTGGTGAACCTGCAATTTATTTGACCTAGTATCCTAGAAATGAGGATATCCTAGAAATTGCCCCATATTGATATTTGATATTGAAGTTTTAATAATAATTAATATATACGGTACGATTTATAGCTGTCTGAATTTCCAGTTCTTCACAAATGAATTTTGGCAAGAAATAACTAGAATTAAACAACTGAAAATAACTAAAATAACTGAAGATAGTTGAAGTAACTAAAAGTAATGAAAATAAGTAACAATAACTGAAATAACGGAAATAACTAAAGATAACCGAAATAATGGGAGTAACTGAAATGCCTAAAATAACTGGAGTAAGTGAAATAAGTAACAATAACTGAAATAACGGAAATAACTTAAATAACTGAAAACAATTCAAGTAATGGGAATAACTGAAATGCCTGAAACAACTGGAATAACCGAAAATTTTCTGATTAATAATTAGTAAAAGTATCAGGTAAAATATTCATGCATTATTCCCTTTTCTGCTTTACCTTCTTTAGGAATAAAATTGAATATTTTGCATTGCCAGATATTCTTTGTGACGTAAACATATTTTTAGATATTTTGTCACTGCCGATGTGACACAATTATGCGAGCAACTAACTAACTATAATTAGTGTAATTAAAAAGCTTTGAATGAATTTTTCCATTCCTCACCTAATTTTAATTGATAAAAATTATGTTGTTGCGTCATCCAGCTAGTTGTATTCTTTTTCTTTCTTTTTTTTGATTGGGCAAAATTTCATGCAAACTGAAATTTAAATGATGAATCATCCAAATAATTGACAAAAATAATTTAGAAATTCAGCTTTATCGATATTCTTTTGATTGCTTAAATTTTCAGGTCAAATGACTTTTAATTAATTAAGAAAATTCAACATAAAACTTATTGCTTCACTTATTTCATCTCTCTCTCTCTCCCTCGCTCTGTCTTCCTATCTTTCATTCTCATTTCCAATTTTTTCCAAAGCCTTTTACTGATTGCAATTTTGTTGCCATATTTCTTTCTCAAGCCGATTTCAAAAAATAAAAGTATAAAATTAAGCTTATTTCTCTAATTTTAGAAATTTCCATCTACTTTTCTTTATCTACTTGAGCTATATCAGTGAATTTCTTAGTATTTCTTAGTAAAAATTTGAAAAATAGAAATATCAGGGTTTATGTAAACCAGTGAATTTCTTATAGGTAAACATCACTCCTCCAGAACTCTATTTCCACTTCTCATCCCATTCTCCATACATCATCCATGTTTCACACATATGTGCAGATCAAAAATCAAAACCAACCGGGCACTTTTTCCACTTTCCTTTAAATTTGACACCTTATCACTGATTTATCTATTCAAATATTTCATTTGTCACTCACCAAATATGTAAATTTTTTCGAAATATTTATAAACTTGGCTTAAAAACGCTATTGTGCTCTTTTGAAAAATTAGAATTTTCTTGAGATTTTAAAAACGAAACTAAGAATTCCTTAAATTAAAGGACTATACAAAAAAAACAAACAAAAAGGAAAAAACCTTTCAATTCAAAATAAACTCCCCGAGTTTAAAAGTGCACCGACTAGGTCGAAGTGAAATGAGCATTTTTCACAAAGATACTCACCCAGTTGGTACAATACCATCAGTGTCACCTAATAGCACCGGAAATCCCAGCAAACCATTAGAGCAATTTTAGTTTAAGGGCGGTTTGATGGAAATCTCTTGTCTTGCTAAGTGACGATGACGGTTTTTGTATCACTTGCGACGAGCACATTTCGAAAATTGCTGGATCATTTACGAATGTACATGTACAGTTTAACTATTACATAGAGCAATTTCGCGGTTATACATAGTTCCTTTTTTCGTTTTTAAATGAATCTGATTTCAACTGTAATCTATAAAATGTTGCATTTGAATACTTTCAAAGGGATTTATTGGAAAAGAAGGAAATTTAATTGCAAACAAGGACAAAAGACATATGCATTCATATGCTTTTAAAACACCTGATTTGCAAAACAAAGTTAAAATTTGTTTAAAATATGAGATATCAATATGAAACCTGATTAATAAAATTTAAATTAAAAAGTCAAATTCAAAAATTGCATCATTTTGTAGTGCTAATATTAGTGACAGAAATACAATTTACCGGATCACCGGAAGGTTCAAGTTTTCGTATCTCTTCAATTGGTTTCAACAAACGTATAATCTTATCATCATCCTGTCTTTGATATAACATTTCACCTTCAAAATCTACCAATTTATATTTTCGAGCTCGAATCAACATTCCAACCAACTGTAACAATGGTTGATCAATTTTATTAAATCAAAATTCTCTTTTGGCAAAATTACACTTTACCTTTATCTTATCTTCCTCTCTGTTTTGTTTTTATTTTCTTTTTCAATCTATCTTTAACTTTTTGCTATTTCTTTGCTTTTTTTCTGTCCCTTTTTCTCAATTTTTCAGAAATCATTTCCTCATTTATGACCAATGAAATTCAAATTAATTAGATTAAACATGTAATACAGTATAACTAATTAGTATTTTTAAAACAATCTCTAAAATTGTATGAAATTAGCTGTAGGGTCTTTTTTTTGAAAATTTTGAAAACATTTGTTTTTTAAACATATAATTAGGCTGGAATTATGTACTCAAAAACACACAATTAGCTTAATGTTATTTAAAGAATACAATCAACCTGAAATCACTTATTCAAAGACTCACAATCAGCCTGAAATTATTTAAAGAACATGATCGACCTAAAATATTACTTATTCAAACATAATTACTTACTGCAATTACTTACTATAACTACCCTGAATTTACTCAAAAATGCCATCAGCCTCAAATTAGTTACCCTAAAAAATAAAAAAATGAAATAAAATAAAATGCATAGCTTATTTGTCATCACAAAGTACAAATTTTGGGAAATATCTTATTTTTTTATAAATTGAAAACATTTGAAAAATCAAACATTTTACAAATATTGAAATTTTTTTGCGTAAATTATCATGAAGATTTATTATCTAAACATTTAACCACTTTAGAATCAATTACTTCGAAATTTAAAATTTTATTTAATAAACTTTATGCAAATATAGAAATAACTTACTTTATCGGAATAATGCGCATAGATGTAAAATAATGGACCAAATCGGATAATTCGATTTGGTGGTTCACCTTCTGCATGTGTATTTATCACTTCACATAAAAATAACACTTCACGCATCACATAATCACCTAAAAAAATTTTTTCTCCTTATTCATTTTGAATATAAGTAAGTTCAATATTCAAGTATTTAAGTACCGCCTAAAATAGTAATAAGTAAAACATTAGAAGAATGTAGTTTTGTTTTTAAATTGTATTTAAAATTAAATAATCTGGTTCATTTCTCTCTACATGAACCCTATATGTCGAATATGAAAAAAAAATAATCACCAAATACCAACCTGCTTTAATACCACGTGCTTCCGTTTTAGATCCATGCTTTGGTCGACCATAATCATGCGCATTTGTATCATATTTGGGCGCTATATACGTTGATGAAAATGGATTCCTACAACAAATGGTTTATTTATCAACGATTCAAACTTTTGAAATTAATGAAATAATTATTGACAAATGTTATTTCAAATCGATAAAGTCAATAAAGTGCAAAAATGAATTGAATATGAAACTTTTTGCATTTTGATTTCTTATTTTTTCGAAATTTTGACTTCGAGTCAAACAAAAATGAACTTTTTCAAATGTAAAATTCTGAAATTTCATCAAATTGACATCAGTTTAATCTGTAATCAAAAAAAGAAATTAATAAATGGGAAAAGTATGAAATTCTAAAAATTTCAAAAAGATTTTATGATTTGGTGGGGCGATAAAAAAAGCAAAAAAAAACAAAATAAACATAAAAGTATACTTGTCAAGTTTTTCCTTTGTTTCATTAGCAATATTATTGAACATTTTAATTGTGTCACGTGCGCTTCTGCCAATCATTCGTAAATTTGTCTGATATTCACTTTCGATGCTATAGAATTTTTAACTGTTTAATAATTTGTTAATTTACAAATCATTCGTTCAAGACACAAATTTCAATATCAAATTAAATTTATTAAAATTTGATAAAGTAGTTTAATTTTTGGGAAAATTTTGTCAAAATAAGAAATATTTTGTAAAACTATTTAATTATTTAATAATAATTCAAATTTTTCCATCAACCAATTGAATATACTTTTAAAGAAAATTGTTGTTGTTTTTTTTTTTAAATGGAAATAAAGAAATAAAATAACCTATGAGAAATATTCGAATCCTTCCTGCTTTCATTAATTTGTCGATTACCATCGACAATAGCGCCATCCTTTTCCAATGGAGTAAATTTATTATGCATCATACTATGCAAATTTTTCAAATTTGAAATTTATAATAAATTTTACATTCAAGAAAATCAACCAGTGAATTTAATTTTATTTTATGAGCACAAAAGCACCATAATTTTATTAGAAAAAAAAAGAAGAGAAAGAAGAAAAAACAAACAAAACATATAAAGAAATTAAAAAACCAAAAAATAAAAGGCATACTTTGTTTTTAATTTATTGAAATTATCCATAGCCGAAGAAGCATTACTATCATTTTTACTACTAAAAAATTTGATAGCGTCACGTGTAGCTTCACGTCTTTCAACACTTCGTAACTCCCAATTTCGCGTGATATTTGATCTATTTAGGAAATCAAATTTTGTAACAAATGAAATTGAAAGAAAGTAAGGATTGAAATAATTTACCCAAGTAATCATCATTATGACGTATGCTAAACATTTATTTTACTCCCCCCTTGTTTCGATTTTCTCTCTTGTTCCGATGTCATCAGTGTAATCATATCATATCACTTATGTCACATTTAGATAAATAAGTAGTAATTCATATTAAGAAAACTTCATGTATTAATTTTTTTTCTTTCTTTGTAGTTCAGTCAAAAGATTATATAATAAATTATTTTTTATTATTTTTAATGTAATAGTTTCATTTCTGGTTTTATGACTTAAATTTCTATTAGAAACATTTTAATGCTATTTTAATTTGTATGACATTTCCGTTTGCATTGCTGAAATTGTAAAGATTGTAAAATTTTCAATCTTTCCATCAGTCGATAATATTTTAATTAAAAAAACCTTGAAAGGTAATTTAAAAATTTGAAAATCTGAATTTTAATAATTTCATTGATCTTTTTGTTTTTCGCTCTCTTTCGTAATTAATGACAACATTTCTTCACTTTTTTTTTCCTTCAAATATTATAGATAACGGAATATTCTTTGATTGAATGTTATCATTTATCTTAACTTTCAAAAGAAAAAAAAACATATTAATTAAATCTTTTCGAAATGAATAAAAAAAGGATTGCCAATCTTTAGAGTGGTGTTTTTTTTCCGAAAAGCCAAACTGAATAAAATTGCGAAAGATATAGTAGTATCAGATATATCAAGTAGATTCCGGTTAATTTCCGATTATTTTGAACACATTTATTAACCGCAAAAAAAGTGATTAAATAAAGGATTCTTTTTTTTTACTTCTTCATTACTTTTATCATTTGTCACCTATGATTTAAAGAAAAAATTAATTTATAAAAATTATCAAGCCTAAAAAATGGCATGTTGTATTGATATGAAACATATCAAAATGTCAGTCTAATTTGCATACAGTCTATAATACGTAGCAATGTTATTTTACTAATTTATAAAACTAAAACAAATTAAATATAATTAAAATTAGGATAGCCTTCGACTACTCCTAAAAAAATATAATGTCAATCGTTCACTTTTACCTTTTCGGCTAAAATCTCTCGGGATATTTCTTTTCATACAAAAAAAAAATATTTTCTCATTTTTTTTATGCAAATGAATCGAAAATTTTGCAATTTATTTGATAGCCAATCTATAAGCAAATTTAAAATTTATATGCTAAATGAAACAATAAAATAGCAATTTGAATTGTTTAAAAATTTTTTTCCTTTTCTTTTATTAAAAAATGAATCTCATAAATATTGCAATAACATTTTGCTTTAACAAATGATAGATTAGCAGTTGTTTACAATGATTTCCCGTAGAATTTTAAATAGATGAATATTGTTGATAGTAATATTGATAACTATTATTATAATAATATCAAAATAACTTCCTTTTCTCTTCTTTTCTTCTCTCTTTTTTTTTAAATTTTAAAATTATTGGGAGAAAATATTTTTTTAATGCCAATATTAAAAGAAAAAAAATCTTTTCCTTTTTTAGAAAAAAAAGGCACAAATTAAAAAATGAAAATTACAATTTACTAAAATTATTTAAAAAGATAAAAATTAATCAATAGCTTACTTTTGAGAATTATTTACAATTGCATTAGTGAATTTGCGCATATTATCATTAACAATTGCGCCACAATTATCCGCTGATAATGATGATACATTGCTTGACGGTACTGATCTATGTGCGATATAATATAATTACTAATTTAAGTTAATTTTGAAAAATAAAAAAAAGAAATATTTGACTTATTATTTGGAATTTTATAATAAATTTTGTGACTATAAAACTTTTATAAAATGTTGGGTGGAAAAGTGAAATTATTGAATTGCAATTGAATTGATAAAAAATGAAATTATAAAATTTAATCAATCAATGCAATCATTTTCTTCCTTTTTTCTGAATGAAATTACCTTGCTTTTAGTTTTTAATGATATATTACCTTATCTTTAGCTTTTAGTACCAAATTTGATGAAAATACAAATAAATGAATAAATTCGGTAAATACATCAATATTTCGTCCCCAAAATTTCAATCAAAAATTATAATTGAAATAAAAGAAGAAATGATCGTTGTTACAGTATTCGGAATTTATATCATTTCAAAAGCCGGAAAGAAAGTTAGATCAGGAGAATTGTAGGAATTCCTACAAGTTTTATGTGACATTTTAATAATTTAACATAATAATTAGTTTAAATTTCCCACAAATAATATTTCGTTGAAATTGAAAAAGAAAAATAACAACCGAAAATGATAGGCATATATGCATAAAGAATTCTGAGAGTTAGTTCATTTTTCGTCAACATTTCAAAGTTCATTCATTTTCCGGAAATATGCCATTAATCCAGTAGCATCAAGAACAGTTTGATGAAAACTACCACTATTCAATGAATCATGCTATCGTCAATTTGTTATCTTCTCTTATCACGGTCATTTGGTTAATTTCATTATCGTTATTCGTCATTATCGTTTGTTTATCAGAAGCAGTTGATCGATATTGTAATAAACTATCACTTATTATCGGAAGAAATGTTTGGTATTTAGTGGGATATACTATAAAGCAATTCATTATCAATGCAATTCGGTTTATTTTTCCGGAACTTTCAATTATTCTCCCTAATCACATTTCACCGAATGCTGAAAAATACCGGGGGTAAAGTATTCAATGAAGAAAATTTCATTTTTTATTGCCCACAAAGATCTTTTGTAAACTTCGGTAGCATTTTCTGCAACTTCGTTTTAAAACAATACGAAAACCATTTTTGCAAAGATTAAAGGTAAACATCCCACCGGAATATTCCATTTCTTGGCTTCTTTAGCGAACAAAATGCGATTTGCTGATGCAATCAGTTATTTTAATTTAAAAAAATTTTGAAAAAATTTTAAAAACTAAAAAAAATTTACTGGCACCTAACTTTTCGAAAAAAAAGTGAAACTTTTCGAAACTTTTCAACTGGCTCAAGAATGTTTCCTCAGCAAAGTTTTAAATCAAGAGCATATGACGCATTTGAGAAAAGCATTAATGTCATCAAACAATTTCTCTCTCTCTCTCTCGTATAGTTCTTTTTCACTCATTAATTTGATTTGTCAACATTAAATCACTATTTTCTTTTTCTTTTTTTTGAAATCTGAAAGATAATTTAGTGTAAAACTTCGGATGAAATTCAATTTCTTGTATTTTAGAATAAGATGAAAGTAATAATTGTGCATATTTATGACGAAAAGTTTGAAAATAAGTGTTCATAGAAAGATTAACCGATCTTTTAATTTTTATTAATTAATTTTAAATTTAATTAATTAATTTTGTAACTATTCATCCACCCTTATACTTCCATTTATTAAAAAATCGCCAATGGAAATAGACTGATATCAAATGTGATAGCAAATGATAATGAACTAACATTAAAATCATTAACCACCTATCATAATAATATCAAATGATAACGAATTTAACTGATTTAAAATTTGATCAAATATTATAGCATGGCATAGATATGATTGTATCGCAATTGTTAATTAGTAGAAAATATTACAAACAAATAAACACACAAATAAACACATATTTGATGGTAAATTAGGTTTGAGTAAAATTAACGTTAATTACACAAATATAATTAAGCAATAATGTACAAATTAACTGACATAACATGATGAACTACTGTTAATTACAGGGATATAATTATTAAATGACAAACTAACCTGCCAAAATTTTGTTTCATCTCATTGATAGCAATAATTTGATGAGGTTTACAATTATCACCAATTAGTTCAATACCGCACAATACCAATTGCGCCAACCTCAACCTTTTGCTGTCACTGCCGCCGTTGTTAGGAAGAGAGATATTCTCAGACTAATTTATAAACGATCTTCTTTCTCTTCCTCCTTCAACATTTTCAATAAAAACAACTATGCTTAACATGTGAATGCATGTATGTGTCTGTCTGTGTATGTGTGTGTATGTATGTATGTATTTGTTGTGTGTGTGTGTGTGTGTGTGTGTGTATGTGGATGTGTTCGTCTCTATATCTGTGATCTATCCATAATGTATTATGCTGACACATTTTTTTTCTACCTGCTCAGGTTGTGTATGAAAGATGAAATAGCTGCTACTAAACAAGTTAATCTTTCTAAACTTTTCTTTCTTTTTTTTTTTTGAAATTCTTTGAAAAGTTGAAAGAAAAGAATAGAGTATGATAAGAGAAAGAAAGTAGGAATGATAAGAGAAAGGAAGAGGATGTGATAAAGGAAAAGAAAGAAAGGAAAGGATTCCGATTAATCACAAACATTTCATCATTAATGTTAATGTTTATGTTGGAAAAAAAGAAAAAAGACGAAATGGAACACATTTATAATTGAAATGGTTCTTTTTTCTTCATTTTATAAAAATTTTTTAAAATTTGGAAAGGAACGAGAAAAATAAGTGAAAAGTTGAAAATTTTTACTAATTTTAAAGAATTTCTTTTCTTGAGTCATAGTTATTTCTCGCAAACATAAAGACATTAATTAATTAATTGGTTAATCAATTGACCAACTAATTGATTAATCGATTTAACTATGTAAATGTATTGGCGTAATTTAAGATTACATGTTTTGTGAGAAAGAACTTGAAAAAAAAAAAGTAGAAATGACGTATAACTTTGAAGAAGCAATAGGAGATGAAATATTTTGTAACAGTGAAATTTTCAGTTTTATTTAAAAACGAAACATTGTAAAAATGATGGTAAACGTAATTAACGTGAACGTAAATGAATATTCGAGACTTAAAAGAGGTAACGAACGTTAAGAAATTGTATGGATTAGCATATTTGCTAATATAGTATGATTACTAACCATTTATTTTGAGTTTTAAACCATAAAAATTCATATTTTCAAATTGATCTGATTTAATTTCATCAAAATTTCGTAAAAATTCATTCTCGTAATAAATTTGCATTAATTAATTATGGGTCAAATAATAAGTCTATAATGATTGTATGTCTGGTATGATATGATATAACATGACATGACATACTTTCTATTACATTTCCAATAAAGTACTTTACATAAATTTTGATGCAATGACAATGTGATACTTTAGATCTATACAATTATCGATACGATCCACATGGTACTTAAAAAAAGTAATCCACATGGTATACTTAAAAGACTTAGAAGATATTTAAAAGTAATCCACATAGTATACTTTAAAGAACTTAAAAGATACTTAAAAGTAATCCACATAGTATTTGCATACTTAAATACTCAAAAGCAATGTAAATTTCAACATAGCGCTATTATTTAATAACCATATATTTAGAAATTTATTATTAATAGAAATACTGGCGCAACAGTGATATACTTAAGATTTATATATTTTATACTCGACTGATATTAAGTATTTGAGTACATGAGTGCTAAATGCAAGACGTATCATTCTTGCAGCAATGGTGTACTTGATATTCATATATTTGATATTGGATTGATATCAAGTATTTGAGTACATGAGTACTAAATGCAGTATGTATCATCCTTGCAGCAGTCTAGACCGGATTTAATTTCAAGTATCGGTAACCAAAAAAATTTTTTCTTTTTGTAAATTCTTAAGCTCACAAAACGATATTCCTTCGTCTTTCTGAAAGAGAAAGAGAGGGAGAAAGAAAGAGGTAGAGAGGAGAGAGGGATAGGAAGAGAGAGAAGGACAGAGAGAGGAAGAAGGAATACAAAGAGAGAGAGAGAGAGATTAGGGGGAAAAGTGGAAGTCCCAAATATTTTGCATTATAATGTTGAGTGTCATTCAACCTGAATTCGATGACTACAAAGAATCTTCAAGATCCCGCGAAATCACAATAAAACACCTCAGTTACTTCATATACCAAGCAGTCAATGTCAATAATTTATGTGAGATTTACCGTTGTGATATAACGCTCTTACTGATTTTCAAATTTACGGCAACACTGAAATTCCGAACCATGGCGAAGTTAAGAAGTGGGAGTGAAATGGTACTTGGAATTCTTAACTATAAACTTTTCCTTTTCTTTTTTCGAAACATTTATTACACCTTTTTTCATACAACACAAAATGATGACACATTTCTAATATTGTTAGAAATTGTCAACTTTTCAAAAGCTACCAAATTGATAACTTTTGCATAATTTTATGTGAAAAGTACATTATGTAATGGTCGTATGTGATATGTAAATAATGATCCATGATGACCTCACGTGATACGCATAAAGTTTGCATAATTTTATGTGAAAAGTACATTATGTAATGGTCGTATGTGATATGTAAATAATGATCCA